TAATAGGACACATACTCCTGTCAGGTGAGAACAGGCGACCTTATCGTCGTCCTGAAACAGACGTGGAAGCGACCCGGGATCGTTTCCTCGTTGTAGCAAATGTTTTCTTTTTTCAAGAAGTGAGAGAATCCTCCATTTTATCTTGAATAGAAAAATAAAACACCTCGGACTCAGAGGGACGATTTTTATTGGCGGTCAGACTCTGAGCAAAGACGTCAACAGGAAGAAGAAACACGGTGAGTAATCTGGTTTTATTGTTTCACTGAGTTACTGCTAATGCTAACACAACATTTCCTACTGACGCTCCTTCACCTCAAAGCATCAAATAGAATAAATAAAGGACAGATTGATTTTTCTCCTCTAACAGTAGTGACGACTGAAAGAATGATCGGGATCTTCGTCTCCTCCTCCCGCCTCCACAAAGTCCTCGCAGGCCTCCAGAGACGAGACACACCCCATTGCACTCTGGGAATCGTAGTCCAGAAAGAGGGCGGGGTTTTGCAGCTGGGGAGGTGGATTGGCGGTCGGGCTCGGCGGTAGGTCGCCGAGCGGGGCGGTGAGCAGGGACAGCTGCAGCTGGTCGATGGTGCTGGTGGTGAAGGGCCGTGATTGGGCGGGTGGGGAGCAGGCTTGGGGGGGTGGGGAGCTGGTCACCACGGAGATGGCTGTTCTCAGGGGGGCGGAGGGCGAGTTGACCTGAGAGTCGTCAGAGGTCAGAGAGCGCCGCAGTTTGGCCCGAGCGTTTTGAAACCACACCTGAGAGAGAGAGAGACGGGGGAGGGGGGGGGTATAAATATTAATTTATACCACATGAGGACAAATGATCAGCTGATGAAAATAAGCTGAACATCTAGTCTCTGATCGTATTGGTTCTAAAATCTAATGTTTTAAAGACTTTAGGTTTTTGTTTTGTGGACTTTTGGATCCTTGTGCTTTGTGTTATAATTATAATATATAATTATTATAATCTTTAACTTCTGTCCAAGAGGATCTGACCAATCACACGTGTCACCTGCAGGACTCTCTTGGGGAGGCCGGTCTTGTGTGCGAGACACGTCCAGTCTTTCCCGTCAGGGTTGTGCTTCTGGGCGAAATATGACTCCAGGGCTCGGAGCTGCTCGCTGCGGAAACACGTCCTGATTCGCTTGGTCCGCCGGCGAGTGCGTCCACCTGACACCCTGTCGTCCAACCGTGGCTCTGAACTGCTGACAGACTCCTCCCCCTCACCTGAGACCTGGTTCTGAGCTGTTGTCCCCCCTCCCACACACACACACACAAACACACACACGCACACACACACACACACACACACACACACAACATTAGCTCCTAGTTTTGATTTTATGGTCTAATTTAGAAACGTAAAAGTAAAGATGGACGACGTGACAGATTACAAAATTGAAGCCATGGCGTCTTGATCGCCCCCTGGTGGCTGACTGCGATACACGCAATGGGACATAAACCAAAGTTAAATATCACAGCAGGCGTAGAAGTAATTC